AAAAAAAAAAAAAACTAAAAACTAATCAATGAAAAGAGATGAGAAATCGTGGTGGGTTTATTTGAGAAGCATGAGATCGGATGGAGGAAAGAAGTGGATCTAAGTGCCAAGGTCTCAAGGAGCAGCCATGGCAGGATTTTTTAAACAAGGAAGAAGATGACTTAATTTTAAAAATTTAAAAACTAAAAAAAATTGACATCTGACACAAAAATTCTTTTGTTCACGCGACTCATTTATTGGAAAAAAACATGTACTGTCCACGCGGGCAAACTAGTGTGTATTAGATACACTTTGGAAAGGTTGAGTGTGTAATGTGATTTTCGTCCGCAAAAAGTGTGTAATCTAGATTTGGTCCATCGTTTAGGGGGTAACTTATGTATTTTGCCTAAATTCATAACTAAAAGCATAAAGATATAAATTTTAAGGCAAACATTTTAAAAGTACCTAGAAAATAAATTTTTCAAGATTGATGGAAGAACTTTGTAATTGTAGCTTGTTTCGTAGATTTCATTCTCTCACTAGTGATGTAACGCCTGGAGAAGATTCATGTCCAAATTTTCAGCAAAAAGGTATCCATTAATTTTTTCTTGAAGACAATCTAAGAGATTAACAGTTAAATTTTCTATTTAAATATTTTTTGGAATTTGTCCAATGAAAAAAGATATCATGTGCAAATCTTAAAATCTTATATTTTATGCATGATAGAAATGTTATTTAATAGAAATAATTGTGTGCATATTTTTGGAATTATTATTGGTAGTCATAACAATTCTATATGATTGTTATAGAGGGGTAATTTTACAAAAAGAGCATTATGTTATAAATATGACTATTGTTGTTATATGTAAAAAAAACTATTATAAAAATATAAAATATAACTTAAAAAATAAATTTTACTTTTACAGTTTACGGCGTTATATAGAAAAGCTTTATATTCAATATTACTTTCAAATTAAATCAACCAAATTATGTTTGTTTTCAAGAAGTGTTGACCATTTTTTGAAAAACTATTTTCTTGTGTTTTCATCTCATTCCAAGACAAAGCACCACCTTAACCTCTCTATAATTGCTCCTCGGAATTCGGATATATAATTCATTTCTTTCTTCCTCCCTCTCCGCCTCCTACACACCTACTTCTCCTTCGCCACACCGATTTAGCACTCTGTATTAAAATAAACGCTGAAAAATCATCTGTAAAAATGGCGACATCTGCTTCTTCGACTATAAATTTCTCAACCAAACCCTCCCGCACCTCTCTCTCATGGAAAACACGCCTCGCTTCCTCCTCCGCTTTCGCCGTCGCCGCCGTGTCTCCCGGCCGCGATCAGCGTCAGTACCCCCGTTTCGTTATATTCTCCATGGGCGCAAAACCTACGGTCCTTGTAGCTGAAAAACTCGGCGAGGCAGGGGTAGATCTCCTAAAGGAATTCGCTGACGTGGATTGTTCTTATAACCTGAGTCCTGAGGAACTCCGCAATAAGATCTCATTGTGTGATGCGTTGATTGTACGTAGTGGTACGAAGGTGAGCCGTGAAGTCTTCGAGTCGTCCGGTGGACGGCTTAAAGTTGTTGGACGAGCTGGTGTGGGAATTGATAATGTGGATCTTGCAGCTGCGACTGAGCATGGATGCCTTGTTGTTAACGCGCCCACTGCTAACACTGTTGCTGCTGCGGAGCACGGAATCGCATTACTCACCGCTATGGCTCGAAATATTGCTCAAGCCGATGCTTCCGTGAAAGCTGGTTAGTATATTGTACACGTTTTTTTTTTTTGTAGTTTTATCTATACAAATGACGTTCGTAGTTATTTCCTGAATTTTATCTGTTTTGTCAATGTGAGAGTATTTTAGTTTGAATATGAGATTATCTAGACGTAAATTCTGCTAAAAAACCATTGCTTTGCGGCTATGGTATCCGATCTATTATAAATTGGTTCAGTTGTTCAGATGATTTATTTGGAAGAGAGAAAATATTATAGTCGTTCTTACCCTTATTTAATGAGAATATATGCGGATCTGTTTGTAATAGTACGGCGTACTTATCCTCAGACTAGGACGGGCTGAACAATCCGCTTGGCTTTGGCGGTTCTTCAATGTAGGCATCAAAATGCTAGAGTGTTTCATCTCCCGTGGGCGGAACACTAAACATTAAGTAACTGGCAAAGTAATATTCTAATGGAAGGAAATGCTTTGAATGAATTTGCTATTGTTAGGAATGTGAAATTGGAAATTTTTTATGGGAGAACTAGTCAGGAAACCTCTATTGATTGCATGTACATATTTATGGCTGCTAATAGTTCCTCTGTTATCCTGGTTGTGTTTGCACCTGGAGTTGTACTGTTGAAACTTTCCCATGATATTGTTTCCAGGAAAGTGGCTGAGAAACAAATATGTTGGTGTCTCCCTAGTTGGCAAAACACTTGCTGTGATGGGTTTTGGGAAGGTTGGATCAGAAGTTGCCAGGCGAGCTAAGGGGCTTGGCATGCATGTTATTGCTCATGATCCATATGCCCCTGCTGACCGTGCACGTGCCATTGGGGTGGAGCTTGTTAGCTTTGATGAAGCCATTGCATCTGCAGATTTTATCTCACTTCACATGCCCCTTACACCTGCAACTAAGAAGGTCCTAAATGATGAAACTTTCGCAAAGATGAAAAAGGGAGTGCGAATTGTCAATGTTGCTCGTGGAGGAGTGATTGATGAAGATGCTTTGGTCAGGGCACTTGATGCTGGAATTGTGGCACAGGTCCTGGCTATATATTATGCACTTATTTGTCAAACTGCATCTTTCTGTGTATTTTGCATCTTTCTGTGTATTTTGCTGATATTCATGTCTGTTTGACAGTTGAGAGTCTAAAACAAATATTTACTTTCCACCTTTCTTGTCCAATCCTGGATTAAACTATAAAATAGGCTTTTGCCATAGCTTATCTGTATTGAAGTACGAATAAATTTTGCAGGCAGCACTTGATGTCTTCACTGTGGAGCCGCCATCAAAGGATAGTAAGTTGATTCAACATGAGAATGTAACTGCAACGCCTCATCTTGGTGCTAGTACTATGGAAGCGCAGGTCTGTGTGATGTCTGCACTAGTGTCACACTTTTTACCAGTTGATACATATTGTGATACTGTCTGAACTTCTTGTTCAGGAAGGGGTGGCCATTGAGATAGCAGAAGCTGTTGTTGGAGCTTTGAAAGGAGAGCTTGCTGCTACTGCTGTCAATGCTCCAATGGTGCCTGCCGAGGTAAATGCGCTGAATATTTACTGGTTATAATCCCTTTAACATCTTAGTTCAAATTATGAAAGGCTCCATACAGTGCCTTCAACTAATTAGCCTGCCCACTTAGTTAATTCTTGCATGTTTCAAATTGACCAATTATTGGTAATTGTACAAGAGTCTCCTCCCAGTGCGCAGATATAAATGCATTGTTCTTTTTCATTTGTTTTTTGAGGAAGGGGGTCTTGGAAGATTAATTTGGTTGTGGTTTATGGAATTAAAGAAAGGAAATATCATTTCTATCTCCCTATNGGATGTGTAGATAAATCCGTTGTTATTTTTCAATTGTTTTTTGAGGAAGGGGGTCTTGGAAGATTAATTTGGTTGTGATTTGTGGAATTAATGAAAGGAAATATCATTTCTATCTCTCTATAATGCAGGTGCTTTCTGAGCTGAAGCCTTTTGTCGAACTGGCTGAAAAACTTGGTAGACTTGCTGTCCAACTAGTCACAGGTGGAAGTGGTGTGAAATCAGTGAAAGTGACGTATGGCTCAGCTAGAGCACCTGATGATCTTGACACAAGATTGCTTCGTGCCATGATAACTAAAGGATTGATTGAGCCTATTTCCAGTGCCTTTGTGAACTTGGTCAATGCAGATTTCACTGCTAAACAGAGAGGACTAAGAATAGCTGAAGAAAGATCTCATCTAAATGGTTCACCAGAAAGTCCGCTCGAGTTCATTCGGGTTCAGATTGCCAATGTGGAGTCCAAATTTGCCAGTGCTATTTCTGATTCTGGAGAGATTAGAGTGGAGGGCAGGGTAAAAGATGGAATCCCTCATTTGACTAAAGTGGGATCCTTTGAAGTGGATGTGAGCTTGGAAGGCAGCATCATTCTCTGCAGACAGGTTGATCAACCAGGAATGATCGGGAAGGTGGGTAGCATCTTGTCTGAGGAGAATGTGAATGTAAGTTTCATGAGTGTTGGAAGGATTGCTCCAAGGAAGCACGCGGTTATGGCTATTGGGGTGGATGAGCAACCAAGCAAGGAGTCATTGAAGAGGATTGGGGAAATTCCTGCTGTTGAGGAGTTTGTTTACCTTAAATTATAAGAACTGTTTGATTTCTGTCTGAATTCGCTACAAAGCAAAATTTTGATGATGTTATTTGTTTACCAGTAGTAGTCTAGTGCAGGATACAAAAATAATTTGGATGTGAAATTAGAAGTGTAGTACATTTGGTTGTCAATTTGACAATCTTTTTGNGAGTTTGCAGTCCTTTGCCCCAAGATTTCACATTTGTACTAGGGGACCTTGATATAAACAAAGTACAAACAGTATTTAGCCAAATTCTGGTAGCGCATGGATACACCAAAGGGGGGAAAGCCAATACGGTATTTCACGTTTGGCATAGATTTTGGCTTATTTTTTCAATTTTTTTAAAAATATTGTTTGTTTATGAAATATGATCAATGTCCTGGAATTTTTTTTTTAAAAAAATTTCAAATTCGCAAGCACTGGTTTAAATCAGTTTTTGGATGAAAATTTTACTTACACTCACATTCATGCAAGCTAGCGTGAATGTGTATTTCAAATGAAATTTTCGAAACCTCTAAAACCTTCACTCACAAATAATCAACCTTAACTTCTTTTTTTTTCATTCTAAAAGAAGCACAACATTCCAAACACAATAATATTTCTTCCAGACTTTTAAATCCAATTTTACCTTCAATAAATTTTTTTCCCTATTCCAACTCCAATTATTTGTCCAAGACTTTGCATAGTTGCATGTATCTGCTTTCAATTGCCAAATTTGCCGTTAAATAAAACTACAGTCACCAATCTGCATAGAACTATTTCATCACTTTTCACCTCTGTCTCTTCAGTCCTCTCTTCTTCTCCTTCCAAAAAAAAAAAAAAAGAAAGAAAAAACCCCATCACCACCATGACCACCAGTCACACACTGTTCCCTCTCCTGCTGCCGCTCGCCGCCGTACTGGCGCTTGTCTCCGTCGCCGCCGCCGCCGGGGCAGTGAGCACTTCTGACTTTCAAAAAATCACGAGAGAAGAGAGAAATTACAGGCAAAAGAAAGTAATTGACGTTTCTCATAAGTATGTTCCTGAATTGCCAGCTTACGGTTCAAAAAATGGGTTAGGCAACTTCATAAGACTTCAGACAAGCATCAAATTGGGTGATCTCTCAAATTATTCGTTTTTTAACCTTTCTACTCATTCTGGTACACACGTTGATGCTCCTGGACATTTCAATGAGACTCTTTTCGAGCTCGGTTACGATGTCGTTTCGCTTGATCTCCGAACCTTAAATGGTACAATGCTTTTGCCCATCTCTTTATTCTTTTTCCCTCTAAAACTGAAAAATCATCTGTTTCAGAAATTTGGGATAACTTTAGTTTTGTAAATTTAGGTCCTGTTCTTGTAGTGGACACTCCACGGGACAAGAATATTACAGGTATGGTCCTTCTGTAAAAAAAAGAAGAAATTATTGCATATCTTATTAAAGCATTTTCCAGACTTCACTTGTGGAATTACACCGGCTTTTGTTGTTGTTGCTTATTAATGCATTTTGTTTAATAGTAAGCATATGTGTTGGTTTATTTTTGATTTCTGAAAAATAATGTTTGTCTGAATTTGGTTTTGAAAAAATTGGCAAGTTTTCAGTGCTGAAAGGCATTTTCTGGAAACAAAACATCAATTTTGACTGTTTTTCGTTTTCAGATGTTGTGGAAAACATCAATTATTCAGTTACTTTAACCTATCTTTTTCTAACTTTAGTTGCCTTAAAGCTTGTATTTCTTTAGGACCCTTGTTAGTTTTAATTTTTAAATTATTTTATCACCTAAGGTTTTAGGACAAGAGTGCTTACTGCAGTAGGTTAATAAGTTAAAGAGACAAAATTTCACCTCAAAGGTATAACGGTATTTGGAAATTTTCATATTTTAAATGGTTGAGATAATTACTAGATGTAAAGACTTAAATTAAACTAAGCCATTTTGTTTGCCGACTATAAAGCCAAATATTAATTCGACGGCCTACTGACATTTTTCTTTCCATATGCATCGCCAAAATTCTTACTAGATGACTCTTTTTCTACCCCATACAGTATAGTTTGGCACCAAGTAGTAAGCTCTTTCTCTCCTTAACTATTATTTTGCTCTCAATGGGAAGAAACCTAAGAGTTTTGCTTTTCTTCTTGTTCATCAGCTGAAGTTATGAGGTCATTGAACATACCCCGAGGAGTAAAACGTGTTCTTTTCCGAACATTAAACACCGACAGGTACTTATTCCTCTGTTCATATTGGAGGCAATTATTTGGTCCAACCCTGCTAAAATGCCTACACTAGTTGGTTCTTTTGTTTTGTCATCCGTGTGGTGTTGAATGTAATATATGTTGGTCCAAACAGGAGGCTGATGCACAAGAAAGAATTTGATTCTTCCTATACAGCATTCACCTCAGATGGAGCAGAGTATCTGGTCCAGAATTCCGACATCAAACTGGTTGGTGTTGATTACTTGTCAGTCGCAATTAATCCCAAGGATGAGCTCACTAAAGTTCATCAACTTCTTCTGGCTCCTAAAGTAAGTATAACATCCATTTGCCCATTTCGGTTTACCTGTAAGATTGAAAACCCCTTGGTTGAAGAATAGTATTTTAAGTTTCTTGTTTACTATCAGCTGCATAATATCTACAAATTTCACTTGCTACTCTTTTTGCTAATCCTTTTCGCTTCTCCACCATATTGAGCAGCAAGTGTTCTTCTTTCTCTTAGAATTCTTAATAGAGTCCTCTTTCTTTTGTGTTTTGTAATATAAAGTGAGAAGTCCCGCATTGGCGCCCAAAGGCTTTTTGAAGGCTTTTATAAGTAAAGCTCTCCAAGTAATTTAGAAGAATAGTTAATATTTTTTTTTGAATAAAAGCGAATATGTCTGTTAATGAAATTGTATGTGTATTCAGAATAGACCTAGTTTCACTTCTATAAATTCAACTTTTCAGGATTTCCCCGAGAGGTGGTTAAGTTTTGCAGCATCTGTTTGGGTTGTATCTCAAAGAAACTTGTTTGTATTCCCCTAAATGCGGAGACAAGCAATGTTATATCAAGCAAAACGGAACCCTGAAGAAACTTGTTTTTATTTCCCTAATTGCTATACAAGCAATATTTCTTCAAGGACAGTGTTTTTTCACGCTTCAAAGCTTGCTTTCAATATTTTCTTCTAACACTCTTTGTTTTATCTATGCTTTTACTTGGTTACTAACTGTTAAGGATTCTTTTACTATGCATCAGGATATAATTCCGGTGGAAGGCCTCAAGCTTGATGATGCCGTCCCAGGAGTTTACACAATTCACTGTCTACCTCTGAGGCTGAATCATGGAGATGGTTCACCTGCCAGGTGCATCCTATTCCAGTAATCTTGTAAAAGCATCTGATACTTTTCATGGAAAACAGAAAATTGTCAAAATTTCAACCAGTTTCGTTAACTAAGAATGTCCACGAAGTATTCCTAACTATTCTTCTTGCCTTACTGATTTGTGACCTCTGAGACACATGACTGCAGTGACAGCCACACTAGCTCACAAGCAGAAATCAGGTCAAGTTGGAAGTCAATTACAGCGCAAAAGCTAAGAGAATTAGTTATTACTTCTCTAAGAGTGGCATTTACAAATAGTATTCTGTATAAGCTTTGCATGAGTTCATTTTAAACGTCATAATACGTTCTCGTCTCCCTCTCCCTTCTGTACAAGTCTTCTCTGAAGCTGAGAGTTCTCCGAGTCAATCTCCCTGCACTTGGCCTGAATCGGAGAGATTAAGAGGGGAAGGGATGTTTTCTCTGTGTGTGGGGGGGGGGGGGGGTGGAGGTTCGTGGATGGTCCTTACGCTGTGAATGTCGAGGTTCGTGGACGGGCCTTATGCTGTGAATGTTAGTCCAGAATGAGCTACTCTATGGGATCGCTGTACCTACAGCCATGACGTCGAATCAACGACTAAGATGTATTGATCGAAGTAGAATGTATTTTCAGCATCACAACTCTGTTAATGCATTTTACAGAGCTAGAATAAACGGTATCAAAAAAATATGTTATGGGGTGAGAGAGGCTCGAACTCTTGACCTACGCGCTAGCCAACTGCACCGCCACCCCTTGCTGGTGTGTAGGTACATTCAGTCCTAAAAGTAAGCGCATCCATGCTTCACATGTCTATCAAATTAATCAACAAAAACTTATACTAGCTAATAGCATTTCGCGATGGTAATCTGAATAGGGTCATAGATAAGGAGTTCGAAAATTGATGTTTCTTTTTAGGGATTTTTACCTAGTTATACTATAATAGAAACCTATTTACCTCTTTTATTTAGGTTCCATATTAATTACTTTGTATATCTATATTTACAAGTTATATATAAAATCATAAAAAAGAAGAAAATTCAAGATCCCTTAAATTTAGTCTATCAGTTACATGACACCCACCCCCATTTCCAATAACCCCTACATTTAAGATTTTGTTCCTTTTCCAAAGGATTTCAAAAATATTTTCTCTCTCGATAATCACCCAAAACCTCTCTTAATTTTTTATAACCGTTGTTATCTCCCCCAAAATTATCGATTCTTTTCTTTTTTTCTAAGCTTTTCAAACCCAATTTCCCTCTTTCTTACTAATCACCCATAATCTCTCTTTCTTATTGATACAATGCAGAAGAAATTCGGAATATTGCTTTAGAATCAAGTTGTTGGTAAGTTTTGAATCTTGTTTTCTTTCTTTCTAAGTGTTTATTGTATGTGACTTGTATATGATACATCAATACCCAAAATAATACTTGATGCAATGCTAATACAATTATAATACGATTATATTAGATTTTCAGTATGGAGTTGTGACTCAAACTTGAAGAAGATGGAGATCATAATTGTATCACAATTTTTAAGAAATGTATCGTGCTTGTATTATAATTGTATATGTATCATAATTGTTGAAGGAATTGTATTCGAGCAGTTGTGAGTTCGTGACGAATTTCACAGTTTGTATCACAAATATATGATAATTATATATTAATTTATTAGTATTATACCAGGTATTTGGGTATTAATGTACCATATAGATACAATTGTGATACAAGTATGATACAATTATGTTTTAAGCATTGATGTATCTGATACTATTCAAATACAATTATGATACAATTATCATACAATTCCTGAATATTTCTTCATTTTCAGTGTTGTCCAGTCTCCCAGAAAAAAACAATGCAATTGATGATTTTTTTAATAATCTAAAGTTGTCGACAATGGTGGGAAGAGAAAAGATGGAGATTCCGACATAGATTTAGGGATTTTGATGTAAAAAAAAAAGGAGAGAAGGGAAGAGGGGAAAAAAAGAAAAGGATGTAATTAAATCCCTTAATTGAAGGCATTAATAATGGGGCGTGGGCATTTTAAGGAGAAATCTACATAATTTGTAATAAAAACCTAGATATTTATTAAAAACTACAAAACATAGAGAACATAGGTAAATAAGTTTCTAATAATATAGCTAGGTAAAAATCCCTGTCTCTTCGTGGGAAAAAATTCCAAGGTCCAAACTTAAGGGGCATTCGGGCCGTTCGAATTGGCTATGAAAATTTTGGTTTGGATATTCGATTTTCGGATAAAAAAATTGCAATCCAAATCCAATCCATATAAGCTCGGCATAATAGATTTTTCAAATTTGGTTTCGAATTAATCAGATTGGATATTTTGAATTTTCGGTTTTGAGTCGATAAGTTGAGTTTCTTCTTCTTACAAAATTTGAACATTTCCGCATCCTTTGGTTTCACCAATTTTTAGGCCAATTGAAATCCATCAACTAAATTCAAGAAAATCATCATGTATATAAAACACACAAAAAATAAACATAATAATTAATTCACGTGTCATGACCCTGAAACGTAAAAAAAAAAATATTAGTCATGGTGAGTATTGCTCAGCCGTATCTGATGGTTAGTCCGTTCACAAAATTCAAAAAATTTATCATGTATATAAAACACATGAAAAAATGTCTCTAATTCCTGTTTCACTACACCGAAACGTCAAAAAACGATGTTAGTCATGGTTAGTATTGCTCACAAGGCTATATCCAATAGTTCCACCAATTTTTAGGTCAATCGAAGCCCGTAACCCAAATTCACGAAAACCATCATGTATACACGAAAAATGAACGTAAAAATTAATTCTTATATTATGACTTCAAAACCCAAAAAATGACATTTGTCGGGGTAAGTATTTGGTCACAAGTCCTTATCCGATAGTTTCACCAATTTTTAAGCAATCGGAGTCTGTCAATCAAATTCAAGAAAATCATCATGTATATAAATATATAAAATTGGACATTATAATTAATTCCTATGTCATGGCCCATGAAACTTTTTCGCAGGTATTAGTACATGTCGATTTTGTAAAAGTTTTTATGAACTCTGATTGGCCTGAAATTTTGTATATCCATAGGAAACGACCTGGTGACCAATACTTATTGCTTCGCAATGACTTTCATATTTATTTTATGGTGTTTCGGGGTCATGCAACACGAATTTGTAATTATATCTATTTTTTTGTGTGTATTAGTACATGTTGATTCTGTAGAAACTTTTTTGACGAACTCTGATTGGCTTGAAATTTTGTAGTTCCATAGGAAACGGCTTAGTCACCAATACCTATTGGTTCGCCATAACGTTCAAGTTTATTTTATGGCATTTTTGGATCATGCAACACGAACTTATGATTATATCCACTTTTTCGTGTGTATTAGTTACATGCTGATTTCGAAAAAATATTGATGGACTCCGATAGGCTTGAAATTTTGTAGATCCATAGGAAACGCCCTAGTAATCAATATTTATTGCTTCACCATAAATTTTGGGTTCATTTTATGGTATTTCGGGGTCATGCAATACAAATTTGTGATAATATCCATTTTTTCGTGTGTATTAGTACAAGCTAATTTTGTAGAATTTTTTACGTACTCCGATTGGCTTGAAATTTTATAGGTCCATAAGAAATGGCCCAATAACCGTTACTTATTGCTTCGCTGTAACTTTCAGATTTATTTTATGGCGTTTTGGGGTCATGCAACACGAACTTATAATTATATCCACTTTTTTGTGTGTATTAGTTACATGGTGATTTCTTAAAAAAAATTGATGGACTCCGATTGGCCTGAAATTTTGTAGGTCCATAGAAACGACCTAGTAGTCAATATTTATTGCTTCGCTATAAATGGTGGGTTCATTTTATGGCATTTTGGGGTCATGCAATACAAATTTGTGATAATATCCATTTTTTCGTGTGTTAAGTAAAAGCTAATTCTGTTGAATTTTTTTCATACACCGATTGGCTTGAAATTTTGTATGTCCATAAGAAACGGCCTAGTGATCGTTACTTATTGCTTCACCGTAACTTTCAGATTTATTTTATGGCTTTTCAGGGTCATGCAACACCAATATGTTATTATATCCACTTTTCGCTGTAGAATTTTTTTTACGGACTCCGATTGACCTGAATTTTTGTAGGTCCATAGAAAATGGCCTAGTGACCAATACTCATTATTTCACTGTGACTTTTGGGTTTATGCAACACGAATTTGTCATTATTTTTACTTTTTCATGTGTATTATGACATTAACAATAGTCACTTCTTTTCCATGATCATTCCTCATTTTTTGATGTTTTAGGGCCATAAAACGGGAATTCAGCATGTTTTCTGATTTTTTTCGTGTGCATTCCATGTCATCTTCATGAATTCGGGCGACTGGTCCCGAATCACCTATAATTTTTTGGGCTCATCAGAAACAACCTAATGAACAAGAGTCATTGCTTCTTCATGACAGTTTCTCATTTTTTTCGTTTTTTAGGACAATAAAACAGAAATTTAGCACAATTTCTGATTTCTTATATGCTAATAATATTCATTCCATCTTCATGAATTCGGGCGACCGGCCCTGAATCGCTTAAAATTTTGTAGGCCCATCAGAAACGACCTAATGAACAATGGTCATTGCTTCTCCATGACCGTTCCTCATTCTTTGGCGTTCTAAGGCCATAAAACATGAATTCAACACGTTTTCCGATTTTTCATGTGCTAATGTCCACGCCATCTTCATGAATTGACCGGCCCTGAATTCTGTAAAATTTTGTAGGCCCATCACAAAGGACCTATTGAACAATATTCATTGCTTCTCCATGAGCGTTTCTTATTTTTTGGCCTTTTATGACCTAAAATAGAAATTCAACATGATTTTTGATTTTTCGTGTGTAATGTCCATACCATCTTCATGAATTTGGGAGACCGGCCCTGAATTACCTTAAAATTTGTGGTCATGAACAATAGTCATTGCTTCTCCATGAACGTTCCTCGCTTTTTAGTGTTTTAGGGCCATGAAATAAGAATTCAACATGATTTACGATTTTTTGTTTGCTAATATTCATGTCATCTTCATAAATTCGGGCGATCGGCCCTGAATCTTCTAAAATTTTGCGGGCCTATAAAAAACAACATAATAAAAAATAGTTATCACTTCGCCATGACCGTTCCTCTTCTTTTTTTTTTTTTGCATTTTAGGGCCATAAAATAGGAATTCAGGACGATTCCTAGTTTTTCGTGTTTTATAGTCCACACCATTTGCTTGAATTCGGGCGACCGATTATGAATCTCCTTAAATTTTATGGGACCATAAAAAATAACCTAAGGAACAATAGTCAGTGCTTCCCATGACTGTTTCTCATTTTTGGCGTAATATTGCCATAAAACAGGAAATTAGGACAATTTTCAAATTTTCGTGGGCTATAGTCCCCGCCATCTACATGAATTCGGTGCCAGCCCCAGATCGCCTAAACATTTCTAGCTGATAAAAAATAATTTAAGGAATAATATTCATCGCTTTTCCATCACCGTTACTTGTTTTTGGCATTTTAGGTCTATAAAACAGGAATTTAGGACGATTCCAAGATTTTCGTGTACTATAGTCCCCGCCATCTGAATAAATTCGGGCGACCATCCCTGAATCTGCTAAAATTTTGCGTGCCTATTAAAATGACCTAATGTACAATAGTCATTGCATCGCCATAACCGTTCATCATTTTTAGCGTTTTAGGACCATAAAACAAGAATTCAAGATGATTCCCAGATTTTAGTGTGTTATGTAATCCGCACCACATGCATGAATTAGGGCGACGACTTTGAATTTTCTAAAATTTTGCGGTCCCATAAAAAATAATCTAATGAACAATAGTTATTGCTTTGTCATGATCGTTCCTTATTTTTTGGCGCTTGAGGGCCATAAAACTGAAATTCAGGACAATTCCAAGATTTTCGTGTGTTAGTTCATGCCATCTGCATGAATTCGGGCGATCGACCATGAATCTCCTAAATTTTGCGGGCCCATAAAAATGACCTAATGAAAAATAGTCATCGCTTTGCCATGACTAGTCCTCGTTTTTTCGCCAGTTGTATGAATTCGGACGACTGACCATGAATCTCCTAAAATTTTGCGGGCCCATTAAGAATGATCCAATGAAAAAAGTTATCGCTTCGCCATGACCAGCCCAGATTCATGCATATGGCATGGAATATATCACACTAAAATTTTGAAATCGGCCCAAATTTTAGTTTTTTGGCCTTAAAAATACATAAACGAGAAACGGTCATGCCGAAACCTTGACTATTATTCATTAGGTCATTTTTTTATGGACCCACAAAGTTTTAGGTGATTCGGATCCGGTAACCCCGATTCATGCAGATGGTGTGGATTATAAGACACAATTTTTTTGAAATCGGCCCGAATTCTAATTTTTTGGCCTTAAAATGCCAAAAAAGCGAGTAACGGTCATGCTGAAGCCATGTGTATTGTTCATCAGGTCATTTTTATGGAAAAAATTTAAGTGATTTGGATCATTTTCCCCGGATTCATGCAGATGGCGTGGACTGTAACACACGAAAATTTAAAAATCGGCCCGAACTCCAATCTTTTGGCCCTAAAATGCCCAAAAAATGAAGAACGGTCATGTCAAA